GACAGTCCTATAGCCCGTATTCAGGCTCTTCGATAGGCAGCAACTATGCAATTCAACTTTCGACATATACATCCGGCACTAGGCAGGTTTGCACATCTCCTGGTCCCTTCATACGTCTTCATCACGTTCAAGTGGTCTTTTACTAGATTTTTCAAACATATAGAGAGATACTGAGATTCTGCTTTTATGTCGTATCGTAATACGGGGCTCTGCAGAGGGACGATGATGTTTTCAATATGCAAGCCCAAATCGCTCGTAGTTTGGTCTTCTGGTGAAGAGCAGTACAACGCCGAAGAGAATTAAGCCAACAACAGCAATGATCTTCAATGAGGCCATTCCAGAGATCAGTTATGCTGTAGCATGAGACCGTGATCATGTTGAGAGTAACAATGACTAAGTTAAGGATCCGTCGGAACATTGTTGGTTTGTATCTCAGTGGTATATTTAGTTGACACTTCATCAACAAAGTAGCAATCTAGATTCCCAAGCTGACCATGGAGGGCCAATACTCATTATTAGAATCGCAGAGATGACAACGAAAGTGGTCACCTATAGTATCTACATGAAGCTATTGATAGAACAAAGTGGTACCATATTTATGTTTAGCAGGAGGACTGTGTTACTATGTCACCTTCAGTCTACCATAGGTATAACCCCTAGAAAAACAACACAGCCTTTCTTGTTCTTTGTTTTCACGTCTTATGCAAATTACACTATATATACCCTTGTGCCAAATAAATGGTGTTTGCTACCACTTTGTTACTCTTATCTACATATGGCAGTGGATAAACGATTATTACCCGCAGAGAAAGCCAATTGCCATCAACAAATGCCGATCAAACGTGGCGATTTCCCCGGGCGCCAAGGTTGGTCTCCGCAAAACGGGGCTCCCCACATTTCCCCTCCGTTCCGGCCACCGCCTGAACTTTTGGTCATCTCTCATATCTGATTCGATCTCCGCGGAACTATTTCGTCGTCTATCCAACTTGAGTAATAGGAATATCCCCTACATGAGAGGGAATGGCTTCAACCCCCGATAACTGGGCGCAGGCTCTGAAGCGCAAGTCGCCGAGTGCAGAGTCAGGCCTTGAGTCGACAGCCAAGCGCTACAGTCTTTCTGGATATGATCCGCAGGTCCCGTGGCTGTATGAGGGCAAGCCTACTGGAGGATGGCGCACACATCGGGATTCGCGCACACATGGGAATCCCGATGTGCAGCATTCACTGCCGCTGGCGAATATGGTGTCTGCTGTGCAGGACCTGATTGACCCAGACTTCGATCCGCTGACGGCGATGTTGGACGACGAGCCTCGGTTTTTAAAGCCACTACCAGCTCGCATTGCCCCGGAGGACTTGGAGTTCCTGCGATTCCGTGGCGCGCTCTCGCTGCCGGAGAGCGGTCTGCGGGATGAGCTGCTTCGCTGTTATATTCAATGGGTGCATAGTTTCATGCCAGTCTTGAACTTACAGGAGTTCTTGCGGTGCGTGGCAGAAAATGATCCGGAAGGAAATGTTAGCATCTTGCTTTTTCAGGCAGTGATGTTCGTCGGCACGGCATTTGTTGATCTTAAGCATCTGCAGGATGCAGGATACTCGACTCGGAAGAGCGCGCGGAATGCGTTCTTCACCCGCTTAAGGGTTTGTGTACCGGAAATTGAAAATTTGAGCCCAACTAACACATCTATAGCTACTCTACTCTCTTGACTGCGAAGAGGACCGCATTGTAATTCTACAAACATTACTACTGATGACCTACTGGTCTGATCCTGAGAACAGCCCACGAGATATTTGGGATTGGATTGGAGTATGCAACACTCAATCACAATCGATCGGGTTGAATAAAGATCCTGCATCTGGTGATATGGATGTAAGAACTCGGCGACTCCGCGCTCGGCTCTGGTGGTGTCTGTACTCCCGGGACCGGCTCATCGCCATGGGCATGCGTCGCCCACTTCAAGTCAATGATGGAACAAGCAATGTGCCTATGCTCAGGCTAGAGGACTTTGATTTTGAACCTTTCGCTCCATCTGTGATTGCCAACTACCGCTGTCGCCAATTGGAAGACGTGTCACATCAGAAACGTCTCTCCATTATGTTTATTGAAAAGATGAAGCTTTGTCAATGTATTGGTAGGGTATTATTTGCCCAATACACACCTTCACAGCGCCAGTTTGGGACCACAAACCGGACTACAGTCACACTTGTCCCCCGTCAAGCTTCAGAGTCCGAGTTTGCCCGGTGCGGTCAAAAGCTCGACTCATGGCTCAGTACACTTCCCAAAGATGCACAATTCATACCCAAATCGAAAAACAACTTTCGTGACGGTGAGGATGTTTTGTTGCTCCATGGCGCAATGTTGCGTATGCTTTACCATGCTACCAGTAGTGCACTTCATCGGCCTTGGGCAGCTGCTTCAAAGGACCAGTCCAAGTCACGCACTGAGTTGTGCAATACTGCCCGCATAAAAATGCACGATGCTGCCAGTGGAATCACACATATTATACAGGGGTTGAATCAGCTCAATCTGACGCGGTTCCTGCCACAGTCCGGGGTCACTGTGATTCTACCTGCTGCCGTGGCACATCTGTCTAACACCATGTCCGACAACCCGGCTGTCCGCGAAAGCAGCGTACACAACTTTCACCGTTGTATCCAAGTGCTGCATTGTCTAAAAGATATCTATCCAGCCGCAGACCAGGAGTACGCCAATATCGAAGCCGCCATCAAAATGCAGTCTGGTGCCTCCAGTACCTTCTTCCAGGTCATGCAATACAACCTAGACGCCCCAGCCATATCCTTGACAACAAGAAAGCCAAGCAACCCCCACCCCATACCCATACCACAATATCATCCACTTCTCACCGATCCGCCTACCCCTAAGGCTGATACCCCAGTCCCACGAGCGCAAGCTGCACCCACCCAAGGGGGTCTCCCAACCCCGAGAAACTCTACCACAGAGACCACTCAGGAGTTTTCTCTGCCTCTCTTCTCCGGCGACTTTGACCAATTTGTTGACCCCAACAGCGTTGATAACAACCCCTTCAACTACTTCTCAATCGACATCGATTCATTCCCGGATATACCCACCCCTGCCACAAATTCCAACACGGATGGAAACAATATTTCACCAACCACCGCACAAGATGACAACCTAGACTGGACACAAGACCTATTCCGAGACACTGACTTGGGTCAGTTTGGCAAGTCGCAGTCCTTCGAGTCGCAAGAGACGCCCCAGCATGAACAAGAGCAGGGTCTCTTCTCGTTTGGGTTGAAGGAAATGGATAACGATCTCCCTGGCACACACTCGCGCCATCAATCTATGAGTGATGCTAGGCCTGGTATTACGGGTGACCTAGATCGGGATCTAGGGTTCCAGTCTGGGGATGATATGTTTTAGTCCCAGGGACGAGAATCGGTTGTTGTTCGCGGCCCTTTTGTCTGCAGGCTGCCATCTTGTACTATATGTATATGCTACTTTCACAAAATATATGTTTTGAAATAAGATTCTCTATATTTTTGCTCCATTCCGTGGTAGGTGAAATTCAATAAACTCTGGGGTTCTTTTGGCTTTTTCTTCCCGGTGAGCTGTGATATCAGCCTTACCAGTTGAGACCTTCCGCCATTACAACTGACGAGGCCATCAGACGTACACCTCAAGATACAATGTAATCTCAACCCATTTGGAAGTTTGCACATCATTTAGTTTGGGGGATATACAGGGAAGGCACTCTATATCGCGGGCTGCCCTTGGGGACGCTGCTTCTTTGCGTGACTTTGTTCTCACTTCACTTCGTTCTCCATCCAATACTCTCTTTAGCTCGTCTTATGTTTTCTTCCTATAAACGACACCCTGGAGTCTTTCCCTTCAATTCCTCCGGACCTTCCAAATACCAAACTAGCCCAACATGCCCTCCATTCCAAAACTGGGATCTTCCAGCAGCCTTCCACAACTTACAGGCCGACGTCCTCCAGGCGTGAGACAAATAATCTCATCCCGCGGATGCATCGTGGGACTCTACAGCGAAACACCCTTCCTCAGGGAACCAAATAACCCACTACCCCCCTGCACAAAAGTCCTCAAATACGCCAATGATACCAATGACAGGGACTACCAAACAAGCATCAAAGTGGAAGCCCGTATCCTCGACATCCTCCAGAAACTAGGCCCCCATCCCTCCATCATTCAATCAGAAGGTCTGAACGAAGATGGTCTGATACTGAAATACTATCCCAACGGCAACATGAGCGAATACCTCATCCGCTATCCAGACATCAGCCTCGAGATCCGGCTAGACTGGTGCCAGCAACTCGTCGCAGCAGTATCATTCGTCCACTCCAAGAACGTCATCCACTGCAATATCGACGTCTCGAATATTCTGCTGGATATCAACCTCAACGTCATCCTTTCCGATTTTCAGGGAGTCCTGAAAAACAGCGCTGGGGAATACATGCTGGATGGTCTAAGCCGTGAAGGCTCGAAATCCAGCATGCCCGGACCATATCCCAATCATGCAGAGGAACGGACTGACATATTCGCTGTTGGCACGGCGATGTATCATATCATTACGGGGGCTGAGGTGTTTCCGGAGTTAGATTCTCATCAACATGAACTGGAGATCCAACACCGGTTTCGCAATGCTCAGTTTCCGAGAGATGACTATGTTTGTAGCCATATAATCGAGAAATGCTGGAGAGGCCTTTATAGCTCTGTTGAGGAGGTTGGCGAGGATATTTTTCAGATGCAGTCAGCTTCGTGGGCTGGTGATGTGACCCAGAAACTGGAAGATGGATTTTTGCTTTGAAGCTCCTGGATGAATCTGTGAATTGATTGCATTGTTATGTGCACTATGAGCAAAAGGTGTTTGGTGTTTGGTATTAGGATTCGTCGACGATACCATGTATTCTTATTCTCTATGGAGTATCGCATGATGCTGAGGGGAAATGAGCTCTAGTAAACCTGCCCATTCTATGAGATTTGTGGTGTCGGACTGGATTGCTCATGCCTGTTTTTTCCAGCGATTGCTTTCATCGCCTTCTTCCCAGCAGTGCTCGACGTAGCCCAGCTTCTTCTTGACTTCCCGGACCTTGTCCTGGTCGCCCGTATTCTTACCCATATTGTCACTGAGCTTGACGGCCGGGCTTCCATTCGCAGTTGCAATCTTGATAACAATGTTGAGGGGTTTGGACTTTTCGCCAGTTGATTTATTGATGTAATCATCTGCATGGGTTAGCATTGGTCAATGAACCTGTGAAAATCAGACTTACTGGTGAAGAATGTTCCAACACCGAATGTAGGCTTGAAGCCTGCCTCTTCGGCGATGGTCTTGTACTCAAGGCAGTGCTCGATATCCAAAGAATCTGAGAACACGACAGTCTTTGTATCGGTGATACCCTGGTCATCATAGAAGTCCCGGGCCATCTTGACAAAGTATGTCGGGTCACCGGAGTCCTGGCGGACACCAGTGTAAACTTGAGCATAAGTCTTAGCGGATGGATCAGGCTGCTGATCCGGTAATGAGATTGGCTTTTTGAAAGCATCCAAGAAAGCCGGTGTACCGAATGTATCGGTAAGGGCGATACCAAGAACCTGGTGTTCCAGTTAGTATATAACACATTCGACATTGAGACAGCAAGAATACATACGCCCTCTCCAAAACAACCAAGCCAGTACTTCAATGCCAACTCATTGGCATTCTCATAGTCATCCGTAATAGCCGCAATGGTCATGTACCATTCATGCGCCACCGTCCCAACAGCAGGAACACCATATTTCATAGCAAAATGAACATTGCTCGTTCCAGACAAAGCACCAGGCCACCCCTGCCGCTTCCCCTCTTCCGCAGCACGGGTAAGACCCTTCATAACAAGGTCCTGGGTATGATAATCGCGTCGACGGCGAGACCCGAACTCAGAGAATATGCAGCCATTCTCCAGCAGCGTGCAGCCCTTACGGTATGCCTTCTCTTCTTGATTCTCGTAACTCCAGTCCTTATCACTGAACATGAAGTAGGCCTGGCTGGTCAGCGCAAGCAGCGGGATCTCGTACAGGATCGTGTCCAGCCACAATCCCTTGATGATATACTCGACATTGCCCTCGTCGTCATCGCTGCCTGTATCTTGTGTCGGGGTGAACTTGATATCGATTTGTTCGGCGGGTTTGAGGTGGAAGGTTTCGAGGAAGGTGATGTACGCGTCGTTTAGGTAGGGGCACTTCTGGCGGAGGAATTCGCGTTCTTCGGCGGTCACGCGGACATTGGCCAGTTCTGAGCGCGTAGGTGTAAGTAGATGTTTAAGCTTGGTGGTAAGTATTGCTTACTGTCCATTTGCTCCAAGAGCCATTTGTATGCCCCGCGGCGCAGTTTCATATGCGGGGTCCGATTTGTGTAGCCGTAGGTCACCGCTGCGAGTCTGTTAGTTTGTATATCGCCCAGTTCGTAGTGGGAGTACTTACACACATCTGGGAAGTACTTGAGAACAGCGCATTGCATTGTCAGCTTGTACAGGTCGGTGTCCAGCAGGGTCACGATGCCGGCTGGCAGCGCAGATTCGTCGTTGCCCATTTCGCTGGTTAACCGGCGTGCCAGGTCTGTCTAGAATAAATCGACAAGAGGGGAAAGGTTGCAATAGCTTGTAGTACTGGCTGAGCAATTATACAGGGAAGAATGGCCTGGTATAAATGTTTTCTGTTCTTTTTCTTCTTTGGCGCGCAGTAGCGCGGGGAAAATGGCGATACTGATAGGTGTTTGTGTTGTTTGCATTGTGTATAGATCGCCTTTTACCCTGGTCTTTCTCTGTTTTCTGTTTGTTACTTGTTAATTGTTACTTGCTACTAGACTCTCTTTGTTTAATACCTGTGCAGTGCAACTTACGAATATCTCAAAAGAGTCAATTCATTTATGCTTGGCGTGTCTATCGTCATAGCTTATGCGCAGACCTCACACTATCACCGATGATATCTGCAGCTTGCTCTGCTAGAGCATAAACACACATCTGAATGTGTGCAGTCAGTGGCACAGGAATAACACTTGCATCAACAATGCGCAAACCATCCACACCTCGAACTCGGAGCTGATTGTCGACCACCTTGCCCATAGAGGCGCTTCCAGCGGGGTGGAACATAGTCCTAGAACCAGATATCAGCATGCAGTCAACAGCTATTATATCTTCATATACTCACATAGCTCGACGTCGGACCAGACTGTCGATCTCCGCATCACTGGTATCCACTTGAACGGGCGTGGCCCCGTCTTCGATCGTTTCATCGTCAATCATTGCCCGCCCGGCTGGTGTATCACGGACCATTTCGCGGATCTTCCGAATACCCGCACGCATCATATACCGATCAGCCTCGGTGGCGAGATAGTTAGGGTCGATAAGCGGCGTAGAGTTTGGATTGCTATCTTGGAGGGTAATGCTCCCGCGCGAAGTTGGAAGCATACCAACCACGATCGTGGCTATGTGAGTCCCGTCCATTTCGATCGTCGGGTTAGCGGGATTTCCTCCTGCATAGAATACTAGCATCTCCAGATGCCCTTTCTGTGAGATAAGTGGATGTTCATCCGGGTTGCAATTGGGATTATCTCGAATTAATGCAGCGCGTAATCCGTCTAGAGGGACGGGCTGTGTTGCTGCAAAGTCGATTGGTTGACCTCTGGAAAATAGAGGATCACTGAACGCCGGTGATCCAACTGCAAGTCCTTGTTCGGGGTGTTTTAGCTTCCACCACTGGAATACACCAGGGTGGTCTTGGAAATGGCGGCCGACGTCAGGTGAGTCAAGTACCAAGTCCACGCCATGGCGTTGCAGTTCCTCGGCTGGCCCGATGCCTGAAAGCTTCAGGATTTGGGGTGTCCGGTATGTGCCAGTCGAGATGATGACTTCGCGCTTTGCAGAAATCACACGGGTTTCCTCGCCCACGATCTCCACGCCAATGGCTCTCTTTCTCCCATTGCGCTCTTCGAAAACCACTCTTTTGACCATAGTATCCGTCAAGATAGTGACATTGAGTGGGTACACAGAGGCAGCAGTTTGCCGCATACCCTTGACTTTGTTCTCAACGACCTCCGCCAATCCGATGGGATTACCAGAATTCAAGTCCGGGACTAAAGGCACACCAACAGCAGCCCATGCATCCTTCACCGACTGACGCAGAGGGTAGTTGCGACCCGTAAATGTAACAGACTCCGCTTTCATAGGGCCATTAAAGCCATGCTGTAGCTTATCGCCGTTTGGATCAAAATGCGACTCAACCTTGCGGAAATAGGGCAAGAAGCCACTATAGCTCCAACGCGAGTCGCCGACCGTCTCTCCCCAAAGATCATAGTTTGCTTTCTCGCCTCGGAACCAACCCCCTATTAAATATCACATATCAGGTGACAGGTCTTTTGCATGGAACAACTTTCCAAAACTCACCGGCGTTAGTCACACTACTACCTCCAAGTGCCCTCCCCGCATGGTTAGAGACAGAGCGCCCATCCAAATGTTTCTGCGGTACTGTGGTATAGTTCCAATCGAGCTCAGAGCCGAGGAGCTGAGGGTAGTCCGCCGCATCTGATACAAGGGGGTGCTTGCTGACATCGGGGCCGGCTTCGACGATCAGGATGGAGAGCGTGGGATTCTTTTCTTTAAGACGGGAAGCTACTACGCAACCTGCTGTTCCCCCACCCACGATAATATAGTCGAATGTTTGAGCCATGACTATTTGAATAGAATAATAGAAGATAGATCAAAGGTTGGAGTTGGAGGTGATAGATAACTATGCTATTGAGGGGTAGCTGAAGATCTATTGGGCCGTGAGATCCCTGTGCGTCTAGTATGGCTTGGCCTACATGGGTTAGTCCTGGCCGAAGCTCAAGGATAAAAACGTCCAAAGTTATGTCTGATCATGGATGTATGCATCAAAGGCCTTCTGGAAACACTCCATGCACCAGTGTGGGGTGGTGGTAGGGGTCTCCATCTTGGTTCTGCTGGATGGGAATTGCGATGAGGATGGAGTAGAGGTAATTCTGACGAGAGGAGATGGGTGTGTTGCCAACTCTATTGAGGAGGATCGTGGGACAGACCATACATACGATAATACGACATTTACGGTCCGTATGTGGTATGCATGACTCTAAATGGGAGCAAAAAGACGATCTGTAATCTTACTTAAACCTACATATATATACACAGCACCAAGTATCGACCGCTTACTTCCCGATCAGATAATATGATATAGCACGGTGGCGCAAGATAAATGGGTGCTAACTTCTTTAGTACCTGAACCTGGATATGAGGTAGCGGTGAATGTTCACATTGCCCATAGCCCAATCAAGCGAAAGTTGCCCTAACGACATGCCAAAATATACACTACCACGCATAATGTCCAAGACGTCCCCACCAATTAAGTTATATCCTGCGTCACATGTAGATTAGAAAGCAAGCTCGTAAGTCACCTGATGTGAAATAGCATTTAAATGGAATGTTAGATCTGTTATAGCATTTGAACTTTTGAAATACGATAATGTTAAAAAAAATAAAAATATTTGAAGGGGCTTTGGTTCATATTGTCAATAGTGGGCCCTCCATACATGAACTAGCATCATTGGTCTAGTGGTAGAATTCGTCGTTGCCATCGACGAGGCCCGTGTTCGATTCACGGATGATGCACATTTCTTTTTTGATTCTCCTTTTTTTTTTGGTTTTTGATTCTCTCGGTCATTATCTTTTTGCTATGTTTTATTGCGAGCATTATGGACATGTGTGTAATAAAGCGATTGACCATATATCCGGTGGGCAGCAATGAGCTGTCCAAGTCTGTTCGTTGGTTCATATCTTGTTTAAAGTGTTGACGGCCTGTATAAAGCCTCACAAGTTAACTGTGACTTGGACTAAAACGAGACCGGCTATAATCGGAGGCCGGTACCATTCCGGCCTCCGAACGCTAGGGAAGTCTAATCTTGCGTTATCGTCCAATCAGGAAATAGGATTTTACGATCGGGACTTGGCACGGCATGACATATAGAGCATACATCATGACTTGTAGAGCTTTCATCAGACAATTATCCGTAATAAGTCCCCAATAAGTGGTTAATTTTACACCATAGCAATCTTAAACACCTGACTGGACATTCGCTATCATAATATCCAGCTAACCCCAAGATGAGGCAGACAAACTGCCTTTGACAGCTTCTACTATATCGGGCCTAGCGCATCCCCGTGACCATCCCCAGCCCTCTCTTACTGGGCAGTTGTATAGTTCATTTGTATAGACAGAAGAAAGTCGAAATGTCTTGTTTTGGACAAAAATGTCCATATAAAGTGCCTTGAGTCTCCTTCATGATAGATGGAACCCATTTGCATCATGCAGCAGGAGATGTCATCAGTCCCACGCTATTCTTAATCTCTTTCGTAATGGTGGACTTGAGGCCGGAATTGATACCGGCCTCAAAGTATTATAAGAATCTGCTCCTCTCCCGCCCAAATCCTTGAGTTTCTGTTCTCTTTATCATCCTCAAAGGTCTTCTGACTTCTCTTTCCTCCTTTTTTACTCATTTTTATTACTTCCCTGGTTCCTGACTTGGTCTTTGACCTACATCAACCTTCACACATCTACCCTACCTCACTGTCTATCACCAATCACCCATAGACACCTTGTCTCTTACCTTGACTACTGTTCTTCTCCCATCATGACCCGTACTCAAGTGCCCTACCCCTCCCCGGCTACCCTGAAGCGGTTCCCTCACATCCATGATGACCCTTCAAGCATCTCCCATTCCTTGGACCCCTTCACCATCACCACCAAGACAGGCTTCCTGCCCTATGAGACTGCCCCTACAGAGCTTCCAGAGGCATTCAGTGCCTTGCTGTCCCTCGTCAACCGTCTCCCTGTCGTCAGACTTGATGGCAAGCCCGGTCTGCTGGCTACCTACGAGCTTGGCCCTGCTGTCAAGGCCGAGCTCACTGACCTGACTGATGAGGTTGAGAAGCTTGTCCTCCCTGATGGCTCGCCAGATCGGTTTACTGTTGCTGCTGTCTTCCGTGATTATACCTTCCTGGCCTCGTCTTACCTCCTTGAGCCTTGCTGGGAGCACTGGAACAAGGACCCCGAGGGTGGTTACGGTCTTGGCCGTGATGTTTTGCCTATCGCCGTTGCTCGTCCCATGTATCGCTGCGCTGAGCTGTAAGTTCATTTTATTCCATCTTACCTTTCTATCCTCCCGGTCCATTCACATACTTCCGTTATATTATGACATTGTCTAACCATATCCCAGTCTGGACCTGCCACCTTTCATGTCCTATGCCGCCTCTTATGCTCTATTTAACTACACTGTCGCCGACCCTGCCAAGGGGCTGAGCGAGTACTCCAACCTCCGTCTCATCCGCTCTTTCGAGAGAGGTCTTGACCCCAAGAGCTCCGAGGCAGGCTTCATCCTCACTCACGTGGATATGGTCAAGGAGACCGGTCCCTTGATTGCCGGAGCTCTCAAGGTTGTCGACACCCTTGAGCAACACGGCTCTCGCCAGGAGATCAACGACGGATTCCGAGAGATCCTGAAGTCAATGGAGAAGATCGAGACTTCCATGGAAGGTATTTCATCAATCCCCCTTCTCCACAAGATAAGCAAACTCACATAAAGTAGACATGTGGGGAAACTCCAAACCATCTGAGTACCTCTCGTTCCGCGTCTTCATCTTCGGAATCACCAATCAATCAATGTTCCCCAACGGTGTGATCTACGAAGGCTGCGAAGACAACAAGCCCCTCTTCTTCCGCGGCGAAAGCGGCGCCAACGACAGCATCGTAAGTACTTCACCTCCCCAAACCCCAATCCATGCCTTCAACTAACATCAACCAACCTAAAGATCCCCCTACTGGACCACCTCTGCCAAATCCCCATGCCCGAAACCCCCCTAACAAAAATCCTCCACGAATTCCGCGCCTACCGCCCCCTTCCCCACCGCGAATTCCTCACCTACATCCGTGAGAAATCCGAAGAAATCGGTGTCCAGGATTATGCAGTGCAGGATTCCGAGACGGCCGTGCTATTTCTTCGCACGCTGAACCATGTCCGCAGTTTCCGCTGGAGACATTGGCTCTTTGCGCGTGAGTACATCATTCGTCGCACGCCGCATCCTACTGCTACCGGTGGCAGTCCTATCGTTACTGTGAGTATACCGCCCTACCCAAAGCAGGGAATGCAAGAGCCCGTTGCATACCTTATACTATACGTCTGGTCTGGACTCCTGGCTAATTCATCTGTAACAGTGGCTTCCAAACCAACTCTCGGCTGTGATGGATCTCATGGTTAAGATCTACGACACCCATCTCGCGCCTAAGGAGGGTGTTACCGTAGTTGCGAATGGTGGACAGGATTTGATTGCTTCGCATCGGAAGCAGGTTGAGCCTATGATGGAGCTTGTTCGGGATCAGCGGGAGAAGTTGGCTAAGGAAGTTGAGCGGTGGTGTCAGGAACGGGGGGTTTAGATCTTTTTCTTTTCCTCTCTCTTCATTTCTGGGGGTTTTCTGTTCTTTGCGCTTTTGCTGGTTTTGCATATCTTAGATTGCGAATTGTATCCTTCTGGGACTGAAGCCCGTTAAGGGTTTCGTCTGAATGTTTTGCAGTTGTTTGTGGATCTTAGTATTTCAAGTAGTGATTCTCAACTATAAGACATGTTGGGTATTGTCTATTCTCGTGTGTAACAGTTAACGGCACTGCTTTCCGAGACTTATCTATTTCCAATGTTGATTCAAGCCGATGTATGACGGAGTTCTATGTTAGGTGTCTCCCCGTCTTTAGTCCTGTCTGGCTCTCTGAATTATTCTACTGGCCAAGGCAAGCTAAGAACTACTGATTTGTGATGTCGGAGGATTTTGACTTCGTCTTCTGCATCAGCTGATACAATTTCCAGAGGTCTGTGCCAGTGTGATCTTGACCGCATTTTCTCTCCCGATATGGATGAAGAACCCGAGATACTTCCAAGGTCGGATGTGATGTGCCTTTTGTATTATTGGCGAGGATATTGTCTGACATGGGAGTGAAGATCCGAATTGGCCAAGTAAAGACTAGAAAAAGGATCACTTGAGTATAAAATATCCGGGGTGACATGTCAGCCTCTTTATCGATACTCAAGTCGAAGCCGCCTGTTTGGAAGCAAAGTATCGGTGAAGGCGCTAAAGGGTGACATATGGGCAATGATCCCGGGAGACTTTTCCGATCTATAGATGTATCGGTACAGAGAGGAAAGGGGAAAGGGGATACTTTCTGCTAAGTTTCAGGAAAGTGTTTGATAATTCAACTTGGGTATCTAATGCCGTTGCATCCATCCGCATCCCTCTTTAGTTTCTTCCAAAGTGTGCTAAGAATATAAGGCCACTGGATATCCTTGGTAACCTTTTCTAAATCACATGCTCACCCGCAAGAGAAAGTGACTAAACAACCCAGCGGATTGAGGAGGAAAGCAAGTCACATCCAAACAGGGGTCAACAAACGGGATAATCTTCTCAAACAAAGCTCCTCGAAACAACACTGATCATGTTATAAAGATGATCAAATGTCCAAGCCAAGTGCCAGAGCAAAGCATACAATTTGCAGTTCCGCAAAAATGAAAACAAAGAAAAAGGCAAAAAGTCATCGGCTGGCATCGACCGCAGATCAAACGTCACTTCAGGATCAACCAAAACGATACGGAAGGGAACGGACCTAGCGCCCAAAAGGGTAAGAATAAGTTGGTAATAATAACCGCTAGGCCAAATGTCCGCCACACCTTGATATGGCATATTTACGTACCCCTATATAGGAGACTCTACATAACAGATTTCCTCTACCGGGTGGGGCTTTTTGTCTCTACAACGGCTGAGGTTGAAACGACAAACGCAAGACCCGAAAGAGCCTCCAGGGCAGGTTTTACTAGAGCTGCTGTTGCAATGCCGCTTCCGCGAGGCATCTAATCCACGCGACAAGATCTATTCCTTGCTTGGTCTTATTACCAGCACTGGCTCAAACCCACTCGTGGCACCAATCCCGGCGCATCCACCCCTAGGAATCAAGCCCGACTACTCCTCACCAGCGGATACAATCTATACTCATGCCGCACGGCAGATGATCCCAGTATCTAACACACTCGATGTACTCGGCGGCTGTTGAGGTAGGCCCACCGACTCCGGCCTTAGACCCCGGCTATACCCTGCCACCCTGGGTACCTGACTGGAGCACAGCCCAGTCTGCCTGTCTGCTGCTACATGATGCGCTTGGCCCACAGCGCGCTACACATGCTACAGCGCATAGCAAAGCCTTGCCGCAATTTATCGACACTGGTAGCCCGACGCTGCTCCTACACGCGCACGAGACGATATATTGGGTATGGGCATTCATGAGACCTCCGATACTCGGCGCATTAGCATTGCCAAGAATTGCATGCATTTGTACCGATCAATGCATTGGAAATACAATTAGGTCTAGCAGGTGGAGAGTCCGAATCGCTTCCATTGGGGTCCTTCTAATATGGCCCTTTATTTAACTAACGTACTACCTATGATTCCATAGTATTACACGCCCCTTTCATGCGACCCGGGTAGGTGAAAGCAAGGCGTCACAGCTCATACATCATCCCATATCGTAATTAATGAAGTGCGCCGTCTAGGCGCCTCTGCGTTTGCACAAAATTCGAAAGCTGCTGCAACCTCGTCGGCGTGAGCAGCCAACTACGTGCATGCATTCCTGTTGTGGCTGTCTGTAATTCAGCCCCGACCGCGCCAGCCGCACCAGCAACTCGCCCAGCTCACGCGACTTATCCAACATACCAATGCAAGAACTAAAGTGCAAGACACAGTTTCCGTCGGGCACGGCGTCGGCACTTTGCGGCCTATAAGCTAACCACAATTGTCTCTGTAGCGTCTCCAGAGTCATGGTGATCAATCACATCGATACTCGTCGTTCGGGCGGCATGCATACAGTAGCTCAGCTTGCAGCTCGACAGCTATGGGGCGCAGCATTGTGCACCCATTCAGTAGGTAGCCTGCCCTAAGCCAGCTACAGAGTACACATATTTAATCATGGCCCCCCACAATAATAGAATCCACTTGTGCTAGTCTACTAAGAACTCATCTGCAGGGTATCTGCCAGTGGGCTACCATGAACATGGCGAAGCTCCTCATTGTCTTGTTACTGTTCGCATCGACTGCTTATGCTGCTCCTAATCATTTTCGACTGTGGTTCCCTCAATATCGCGACCCATTCGAACGCTACATGAAAAACTGTATGACCACATATGACGCGTACCAAAAGAACCTATCTTGTCATCCAGTCAACTACGGCGGCTGCCAATCCGGACGAATGGTTCATTGTCTTCTAAGTCAAGCCACCGAATCTTTGAAAGCAAACATGGCCTCTGCCGGCGTTATTTTGGGCCTCCTTCCCACTACATTGAGCCTTGTCGGGTCAACCACTGTTGAGACTGGTCTTTTGGCCCTTCGACGACCTTTCCTATCACTACTCCTAGCGTGCGGGACCCCGGCGGTGTCTCCGGTCCGATCTTTCGAGTATCGGGATCCGATCGACTTACTTCGAAGGACACCCACTACCATCGACATACCGAAATTCAATCCGATGTCGGCAACGGTTATAGTTATCTTTCAGTACATCTTTGCGCTTGCGGCCGTGGCCAACTTGGCTCACGTCAGCTGGGAATTGTCTGTTAAAACAGTGTGCAGCTTTTCCTCAGACTCGGAGTTTCAGCCTGCCCTCTGGGGTTTCCTAGCCATAGTCATCCACCTGATAGGATGTATCCCAGTGGTGCTCCATTACCGCTGCCAAAGCTCAAAGTCGAGTCCAAACGAACGCGCCTGGGCAAGGAGAATCAAAACGGAGTTGAAACTGAATGTACAACACTCAACCACGATACTTCATATCCGAAATGAGACGTCTCTATTTATGCTTTGGTCCTGGTGCACTTCGACTGGGACAGTATTACACATTATGTACGGTACACTTGTTTTTTCGAGCATTTTATTTATCAGCGCACAGGACGCAGTGAAGGTAGCGGCAAGATATTTAGCGTCTACCCTCGTGTGCAGGGTTATTCTCATGTTCGAAATCATGGGGATGCGTACTGTGATCATAAATCAGGCGGAGATGGTAGTATTAGAAGCTCCGAGCGAAAGGATCCAGAGGGCGGCTGCAGAATCAACTGAAAGAAGACCAAACGCTTAAATGAGGCTATAAAGGTCACAAATGTAGGAGTCCTGCCATCTTGAAATTAAGACAGATTATACCGGCATATGCTCCATAACAGGCTTTGTGATCCATTTTCGAGCTAGGCATGCAACATACAAGCGTTTAAACAAGTAATTCCGGCTGCTCCTGGCACATGGGCTGGCAACTATTTCGGGAGCTCGCCTGTTAAGCAGAAGGCTCTTGATGGGCTTGATAGGCAGGACTTGGGTGCTGGTAGTTTGGTAACAACTGGCCAAGTTCTACCTCCATAGGATGCCCATGCCGCATGGAGACCCGTGACCTTCTGACTTCACGCTATGGCCGATTTCTCCCTCAAACTTCATATTACACGGCTGCACTAGCCTCGCCCTGGGCAGCGTCACGAGCTACAGGCCGTGAGCGACAATATCCACTTCCATCTGAGATGGCTTCAGTGGACTAAACTGAACAGCGTATTGTGCGAAAACGTTGAGTCCCACCGGAAAATGTACGGCGAGGATCCTCTTAGCAGACAGGACTCAACATCTGCATGATAATTGACAGATGTAGCTGGCACTTGGCTCAAAAATCTCGATCAGCACGACGACAATTCTGGCGGCTTGGCCAATTTGGGCCCAATACTGGCGCCGGCGCGGTATTAGGTGCTTCGCCATGCTTGTTTGAGCGCAGATCCTTTCTTCGTCTTGCTTCATCAGTACATCTTGCTTTGGACCGTAGATAAGGCATCTCCGCACGCCTAGTTTCCAGTGTGAAAGCAGCTAACGGACTTTAGCTTTGAAGTTCTGCATCACATACTTGGATCAAACAACGACCTACTGCGCAGCACATGGCCTGGCTTCTATAATTCCCTGGACCGGCTGGGCAAGCCTCGAGATCGTTCCTGCCTCACTTGAATACCCCCATTGGCAGATCGTAAAAATCTGCTTCTGATTAAACATGAACAACTATTGAAGTGAAGTTACTCTTAAATACACTTCAATGAACTCGATACAAGCCTAGAAATGCTCGCGAGATATGCTTAAGTGGGCGAAAATATGGTGCGACTTGAGATCTAGATCGAAATATTTGTGACCTATATAGACCGTAGTCAAAAGACCCCGAAGACCAGTCAAATACAAAAAGAACGGATGCAATAGATTATGTATCACCACCATAAGGGAACCAGCCCTTATACAAAAAATGCAACATTCAGCGGCTGACACGCGCAAGAACCACGACAAAAGAAACGCTCCCAATGCATCACTCAAAACACACCATTCATCAAGCCATTATCCAGATTACATCCCACAGGTCCGCTCATCTCTCATCCCTCATACCCAGCACATGAACATCCCAGACATAACGTGCCATTCCAGCTTCATCACAGCTCACTCCAACACCGGGTTGGGATCGAATCAATCGTTTTTGCCATGGGGCGCTCTCCAGGAGCGAATGATCAAGCATCACAGCCAAGAGAAGCAGAAGGACAGACACAAGCTCGGAGGATAGATGAGTGCAGTAACAGCACGTCACTCAAAAATGTAACCGGATGCTTCTCAGTCAAAGACTGCCAGCAACCAGTACTGACAATGAGAATCTCCGAGCCCCAAGATATTGGGCAGATGCAGTTCATCTTGGCCACATTCCCCTCACCTGCACCCACCACGTCACGTACTCGAGTTCACAACAACGACAGCAATAATGATCAGAGGACACAATGCTCAGTGAACAACCACCCAGACACCTCATCATTATCATCATCACCACCACCACCACCACCATGACACCACATCACATTAAACAGCCCTACCGACAAGACCCTTTCTCACTAGAATACCCCGAATCAAGCCAATTCCCCGGAGCACCAGGAGCAGTAGGCGAAGACGAACTCGAACTCCCGCGACTAGAATGCGTTTCACACGCATACCCCACCAGGACAGTCTTCTCCTGCACGCAATGACCACGTTGGCCATAGGCTTGGCAGGGATCAATGGAGTGTTGGAAGTAGAGACATTTGCAGACGGAGTAGCGTTCAACGACTTTGTAGCACATCTTGGACGTGCTATTCTGTTGAGATTGTCGGTATGTTTCCGAGACGGGAAAATACCGAATGAAGAAATTGGATTGGGATTGTCGTGATGGCGGGACTCTGCGTGGTGGAATGATAATGCGAGCTAGTCCGGTGGTTTATATTATAGACAACGAAGAGACAAGGAAAGAATCGAAGGAATGAAATGAAGTGGAGTGCAGTGAAGCAAAGTGGAAGAAAGGAAAAGAAATATAGTCAATGACCAGACAAGACCAGAGACGAGACAGGATAGGGAATGACTGGCACTCGGAAAGACCGAAGAGTAGACCAAGGGTAAGGATATATAAAGACAAGCGAATCGATAACTTACAGGGCAAAAGGAAAAGTGTAGATACAAAAGAGGAATAAAATAAAAAATAATCTCAGCCCTACGGCCCTAAACCCAAGCCCCAGGCAGAAAGAAAACGGGTCCAAGTGAGATCAGAACGTTCACGGCTTATGTGGCTGCAGATCGAATCCAGTTACTGTATACCCATACCCATACCCTGCAGTATACCCCTCAACCCCTCCTACAATAAGTTACTGCATACTGCATATACATACAATCTAGACTACAATAGACAACCGCCTCCAGCTGCAATGCCCCCAGTAAACTAAACTAACACCAAGCCCAGAGCCTCCCTCACCGGGCTAGACATGCCCCGCCGATCACCTGCAGTAGGCCGGAGGAGCCGCAAAGACGGTGAGAGGGGAGAGCCTGGAGAGAGAGAAAAGAGGGCGCGGGGCACGAATGCAGCCCTGTGAGTCGGTGAGTTCACATGGAGTGTCCACATGGGGAGATTTAGCTCGGTGGGATATGGAGGATATGGATGTGGTTGGTTCATAGGGCTTGGTATTGCGTTTGGATCGGGCGCCCAGTGACTCAGCCTCTTACTTACCTACGGGTGAAAGATAGCACAGCCTTAACAGTGCCACAGTTTATGTTTATACGCCGTTTGTTTTACTCCTACACCGCTGTGAATTCACTCATTTATATAGTTGATGCTTTGGATGATACTGCTTTTTCGCTTGGATTTGGCGGTGATGGTAACTTAGTGTGTGTTGATCCGGTGGGGACGATTAGGCTCCTGCATTCCTGGTGACGCTAGCCCGTATGTATGCCCGGAGTAATAATTAACTTGGAAGTTGGTAGTTTAACTATCTTGGGAGCCGTGTTGGCAATGTACTACTGTACATGTATGCAAGAATGGTTCAGATGGAATCTATGACCAGATTGTGGAACTACAAATGGTAGTTCTTATTCCATGATACTGATACTGTGCAGATCACACATAAGTTATCCAGGTGCATACAACACCGCAGTGCATGTATTCCGTCTCCGTACATGCACACATGCATACCGGTAGCGTCAAAAGCCATAGGGCTGAGACAAGTGGAGACCAAGCTGATGAATTACCCATTTAGGATATCGGGGCGAAGAGGGAACAAGCTTGGTGAAGTGGAGGGGTACTATTCTTGTCAATTCTATTGCGTCAATTTGAATGTTAATGGAAATGCAAATGGATGAATGCCAACTGGAGTCTATTCCAAAGGATTAGATACTGTTCTGATATTGATATCGTACACAAAAGAGCCTCAATGGGCGAACAAGCGGGGTCCACGCATGCGGTGGTAAATCCCCTTCCAAAACAAAGAAAACTCCGATTTTCATAAGGCCTACCATCTCCCATCTCCATCTTCTCCAGCTCACATCTCTCAGCTGAACCACGGCCGAACTTAGTTAAACAGACCCCAAAGCACCATGACTCAACCCACGAGCCAAACCAGAACGCAACATCCGCAGAATATCCTCACCCCTGGTTGACTCAGGCAATCCAACACGCCAATCCCAGCCACGATCACCAACAGCAGACATGTCACTAGGACGGGGGATGAGAACGCCCGAGCCACCCATAGAAGCAGGACCCGAACCAGAAGAGCCAGAGCGCGTGCGCGCTGACTCGAGCATGCCGTTGCCCATCAAGGAGAATGTCGAGGCATTGAAATTCGTAACTGATTGTTTGAATAGGGCGCGTGGGGAGGGGGGTGCGAAAGAGGGGTCTGAGCTTTGTGTTGCGGCTAGGAGGGTTGAGCGGAAACATTCCTCGCATTGGGCATAGACGCGGGGAGTGACGGTTTCCAGGTCTTCGATTGCAGAGAGGATGGTGAATTGTTGGGAGACTGTGAGGACGGGAGTTGGTTCTAGTCGGGTCAGTATGGGTGTTATCAAGTAGTGGTATGGGGAACTCACGGCTCACGAATACTAGGGCTTCGCCAAGTAGTGCTAGCAGTCCGTCGACCTGGACGGCAGAGTCGCGATCTGGGTCGTACAGTCCTCCGTAGATGTTATCGGCAGCACTGCCGATGACAGCGGCGAGGGCTTGGGCAGCGGCGCGGCGTCGAGCTAGGGGCTTGTAGCGTGGTCGCTCGCCTTCTTTGAGTTCGAATTCTTCATCACGAATCTCATAGAAGCGGCGCAGAGTTGCGTAGCCACTGAGGTAGAATTGAAGGATGCGAGCTGCTTCCTCGTCGATCTCGGCAATCGAGGATAAGCATGTCTTTGGTTCTTTCATCATGGATCGGAGGTATGAGTCGAGGTCCGCCGTCGCAGGGTATGCGCGTGACTGGACCAAACTGTATGAAATCAAAAGGTCGACAACTGACTTCACCTTGCGGCGGCTCTGAGCACGGGCGTAGCACACAAGAGCAAGACCAAAGTCTTCGGACTTGGACGTCAACATGTCACCAAATCTCTGTTATGTGTTAGTATCAGTAAAAAGACAGAATGGGGCTGAACATACCTCGGAGACTCTGCGTCCCTGTTCCTCCAAGTCAAGATCCGAGCATAGAACAACCAATTTATCCAGCTGATCGGAGTTTTCTAGCGGAAGCTTATCGACAATCTCAGAAACAGCCTTCTTCATCTGGTTGGTATCATTGAGTCGGCTCAGCACTTCAAGGGCCAACTCCCAGCCTTCACGGGTGCTAGTCTCGTTCTGAATAACAGGAATGTCATACAGTCCAAATGCATAGTCGCGAAGGATATCGTCCTTGCGCAGGTGACGGGACGGTGCCTTGTTATCCTGGCCGTACGAAAGAACCATCAAGTCATTCTCTGACAGACCAGGGAACCTCTTCTGGCCCCGACTCGACTCGAACCAGAGTCCTTGGCTGGCAATTTCTGCCACGGTGGCAGCAATGCAGAGAGACCATCTCTGGAGCAACTCCAGCACGCCCTGCACGTTGCCCTCAAAGACAGATACGAGGCCGACCTCCACACTGCTGAGAGAGTTGGGTTGGAAACTGCTGCCGGACTCGCTGGTGGCATTGCTTGAAGCTAATGCAAGACGGTTGATATAAGCTTCCCGGTAGTTCATAGCAACAGCACGAGTCTGTTTAACCCTAGGTCCACGCGAGCGCAGGAAATCGTTGCCGAATGTGCTAGCATCAAATTCCATGTCCGCACCGTCGTCATCCTCACCGTCCCACCAGGCAGTCAGTGCGATAGTAGCCTCCACCCAGTCCTGGGAATGAGCTTTGATGGCGGCCGGGTCACCGAGAAGAATCCGATAGATGGATCTCAGGCTTTGATAGATTGACCAGGGGATACGGCTTTCGGCCATGCGAGCGGACTGAGTGAATGACATAGGTTTCTGGTTCAAGTTGTTCAACCCAAAATTGACGGCTTGGAATCGGTTCTCCGGAACGGGTACGATCGACTCATCTCGCTCCTCGCCCTCTGCAAATTCTTCCAGCTCCGTGATAGATGTCACAACACGTTTCCTGTATGCAGCCCACTCCGCACCATCGACGTTCCAGTTGTCCATCTTTGTCCCGGGGCAAGATTCGAGGATCAGAAGAGCCCGGTTGACCTCGCGCTGAATGTTCTGCAATTGCGTGCCACGGTATCCAGGCTGTGGTAGTCCGTCCTCCAGTGCAGAGCGGGCATAGTTGAAGTCCGCAGAGCGAAGGATCTTGGCTGCTTCGTCCAAGTGACCACGCAGCACTGACGCGGTGATGATATCCCAAAAGTTCGACGAGGCAGTTGGGTTTGGTTCCACATATTTCAATTCTTGTAGGCCCTTCGTTTGTGGCGCATGATTCTCATTGAGCCACTCAAGCAGAATCTGGGGGTAGGGCTTGGGGTTGCTGGATCGCGCCAGAGCCTGGACCATGCCTAGACCCAAGTTGGATGGTGATTCACGGGCAGGCTGGTTGATTTGAAGTAGCAATGAAGCTAAGAAGCTTGCTTTGACCAGGTTGGGAGCTTGCTCCCCGGGTCCAATGCCGGACTGCGCATTGTACGGCCGACTAATTCCACTGCGGTCAGCAGACGCCTGCCAAGTTGCTGCCAGTTCTTGGGAGATATCGGCCAAAACGGCATCGAAATCCACATGTCTTTCTTCTGCGGCTTTCATCTCATCGGCAAGCTTGCCAAGGATATCCTCCGTGGCAAGGATCATGTCGCTCGGCTCTTTGACAGCAGGCATGCGGGTCCGGGAAGCTAGGTTGTGCAGGATGGATGGCATGGCGGATGCTTTCTTCGGGGAAAGCTTGGTCTTTCGGGGCGACTGATTTGTCCAGTGTTCGTCGAGCTTCGGCCGCTTAGCATCACTAGGATTCGAGTAGATGGGTTTGCGCTGAGCAGGAGCAGGAGCAGGAGCAGGTTGGGGTTGTGGGTTTCCGAACATCGAGGTGAAGCTAAAAGGCTTTGGCTGGTTTTGGGAGGTCAGGTCCATTTCCTCTTCAGCTTCCTCGACCTCCTCCTCCACTTCCTCCTCAAGCTCTTCAGCCTCCATCTCTTCGTTCTCTTCCTGGTAGTCGCTCATCTGCGACGACGCAAACCCATTGGAGTGGCCGAAGTTCATCGAATCGCCAAATGCGGTTCCATTTGTCGCGACACTGTAACGAAGATTCGACGCGGTGGTGGGTTTGGTCGAGGGCGCTTGGGTTCGGGGCATGGCATAATCGGTCGAGCCAAACGAGGAGCCGAAAATGCTGTCATTCGTGTTGATGTTTCCGGACTTGGTAAAAACAGAGTTGGAGAACTCGTTCGTGGAGAAAGAGTGTTCATTTCTTGAGAAGGCCATACGCGAGCCACCGTTGACAGTAGATGTTGGCAGCCCTTGCGGTGTGAATGACTTCGCGCTGGATGGCGGCGGGCCGGCAGGAGTTGTCGACACGTTACTCCACAAGCTGCGAGAGCGATCTCTCTCCGGGGTCCCTGGGGGACTAGATTCGTAAGGTACTTGGAAGGACATTGTGACCGGCGGAGATATCACAATGGAGAGGGTCGGTTAAGCAGCATCAGAGAAAGGAAGTTTTGGGCCGCAATATCTCTGAGGGTTGGGAGAAACAGCAATCAATCAAAGACAATTGCTGCAAAGTTAATATAAAGGGCCGATGAGCGATCTTGATTATTACAGGAGCTCCCTCGTCTCCGAGTTTGGCGTGTTTTTACTACACTTTCTGCATTGACGCGACGGCGAAAGTTCTCAGGCAGTAAGGCAGAGATAGTCAGGTGATCTGAATATAAAGTCACGTGTAGTCTAATCACGTGATGGCCATACATCACGTGGGGTGGCATCACGTGGCAGTGCATGGGGGCCAACCCCTCATTGGATCGGGGCCAGCACTGCCAACAAGGCAACAAGGCTCAGATGGGGCGCCCAAGACGATCTTGGCCAGACTTAGAAGCCTTGGGATGCGAGGCTGAATCAGGAGACTGGGTTACATGTATATATAAGAAGCGCATCCTCCACATGGTCAAATCCAACTAAATCACCATGGATTCCATGATAACTGCTCAATACTTCATCAAACAGAGCCAGTTCCGACATCATTACACAGTCACCCTCCGTGGCGACAGGCAACTCTACCATGTGCACAACTCTGGGTTCACACCAGGCAAACCAGATCTAACCTTCCACAAAAGTACGGACGCCAGTGGCCCCATCGCGGGGGTTGTCAAATTCCGACATTTCTCTAGCGATGCAGAGATCGGCCTTGGCGACCCAAAACAACCCAAGGTCAAGGAAATCCTGCACAAAGAGGGCTTTTTTAAAACAGCGCATTGGTTCCGCATGACGGTTAAAGACGGAGCACAGACTTTCACTTGGAAACGCACTCATTCTCTTGGCCGTGGGTCTGAATGGTATAAACTCGTTGAGGAGAGTACTCAGTCTGTTGTGGCTGTCTTCTCAGCGGGCTCTCTGGTCAAAAGGAATGGGAATATTGATATTTATGTTCCTCTGGGTGAGCAGTTTTACCAGATGACGCTTTTTACTGGGATTGCGGTGGTTGAGAAGTCGAGGCGACAGAGAAGTTCCGGAGCCGGAGCTGGTGGAGGTGGAGGTGCAGGATGTTAGCCAAGACTGTTTCATTATGTTTTAAAGTTACGAGGTCATGACAATGCTGCCTAATTTTCAAGGTTATAAGGTGGAGAGAATTAAGGTCGATCGATTTACAAAGGAACTAAAGTCGGGGAGTCCGAGAGTCCGAGGGCAGTGCAGAGACATGTTTCACACTAGACAAGCCTTTTTTCCCACGTTTGATCGACAGGGTTCGGTTATGTAATCATATACAATATCCTGTTGCCTAAGATAATAATTCTTCCAGAGCCTCACTTTCTTACTTCCATTCAATTATGGCTTCAGATTGACATGGCGCTCCGACGACCACATCGGAAATCTCGTCACGGCTGTGTGGAATGCAAGCGGCGACGAGTAAAGGTAACACCATTTCCACAATTCCAGAAAAATCACTCATTCTCCCGCAGTGCGATGAGACCCGACCCTCATGTTCCAATTGCGCTAAGCGCCATGCCGAATGTGAATATGAGTCGTCAAGCTCTCTCCTCTGGGCAAATGAAGAGGCCTCCCGCTCTCGCGCCTCCGGGTCAGACAGCGGCCACCGAGAGGAATCCCTAGGGCAATCCCCCTCAAATCCAGAAACCGACTCGCTCGGAATCCTCAGCCATCTCAGCGGAAATGCGTCACTGCCCAGCCCGACGCTGAACTTCCACGACCTAGAGCTGATGATGCAGTGGTGCAACACAACGTACCACACCCTATCCCGCGACGAGCGCACAGATCCAGTCTGGCGCAATATCGTTCCAGAAGAAGCCCTCTCACACCCCTTCTTAATGCACGGCATCCTCGCCGTCTCAGCTCTCCACCTCGCCAGGACAAGTCCAGACCCAACCCATCGAGCCTCGTATCTCAACCGCGCAGTAGCCCACCAGAACCAAGCCCTAGCGCTGTTCCGCGAGCTCCTCGGTGACGTCAACGAGAACAACGCAAAAGCAGTGTTCGCCTTCGCTGGCATCGTCGCCGTCTACACGTTCGGGTTCCCGCATACGCCAGACGCACAGGATGCCTGGGCCTGCGTGGACGATCTATACCAAGTCCTGATCCTAACACGCGGCGTGCACCAGGTTATCTATGCGCCGCGGGATTTCAGGACATTTCTAGAAGAAAGTAACTTCAGTCCCATTCTCCAGGTGGATGAGGTCCGCGGCGTGATCCCCGATGATGCGAGCGCGGCATTGCGCAAGCTTTACGAGGCCAATGATGCCTGTCCGGGTGCGGATCAACAGGTTTACCGGCTGGCCATTTTGAATTTGGAGGAGATGCTTGGTTGGGTTTATGGCGGGATGAGAGCCAATACCATTGCCGGGCGCTGGGCGATCCGCTTGCCGGCGCGGTTTATGGAATGTCTACGCGAGCGGGAACCCTTGGCGCTCGTCATGTTGGCGTACTATGGCGTGCTCCTGACTTATTTGCAGCATCGGTGGTGTTTTGACGAGTGGTGTGTGAGAATCCCCAAGGCTGTGTGGGCTATTCTGGATGATCACTGGAGACCACTGGTGTACTGGGCTATGAAGGAAACCCTCGGTGTTAACTACCTGGAGCGGGTGGAGGTTGACTGACAGTTCTTTTTCATTATTTACAATATACCCTTCCAATTTCCAATTGCGGTAGATTACCGAAATCAATTCAAAACATCAAACGCGAAATTCCCCGTTCCCCCAGATTCCAAATTCCCCGGTTTAAGCCATCACATCAGCTTCCACCTTCAAGCCACCCATCCGCACCACAGCCCTCCCCCTCCCAAGAAGGTAGTTAACCTCACTAGGATGAACAACCACAAAGATAACCATAAGCGCAAACATCAACAACCCATCAAAAACATAAATAAACGCCTCATGACCCATGACATAACCATACGTGCCCTGAACATACTCAACAACACGCACAACAGACCGAATAAGCACAAGGATACTAGACGAGTGCAAAGCCCACATATGCTTGCGCCAGGGGTACTGGTCAGCAACAGCACTAGCAGCAGAATCAGCCCGAATACGCCGCTGGAAAACAAGCGCGCTGATGAGGAAGAATCCAAAGAAGATGATCTGAACAAATAGACCACCAATGATGACGTTTTGGCCTGTACTTGATGACGAAGATGAGCCTGTAACCATGATTCCAGCACCTGAAATAATGACATTGATTAGCAATGAATCATAGTTGTGACAGTGACTGAAAATAAGAATTGAGAGGAGACCATACCAGATGCCTGCATCAAGAAGCTCAACACATCTCCCGCGACGAATATCTTCGTCATCCATGATACCCTCACAAGCGCCAATTTCTCACCCTTGACCATGAGCACGATTCGTCCGAGTTCCATGTAGATACTCGCTGCGAAGAGGGCTGGCGCGATGAGGAGGAGTGTACTTTGTATAACGTAGGGACCCAGTGTCCAATTTGGGGATTGTTGGGCTGACATTGCGCGGCCGATGTATCCTACCAGTTCGACTGGAAGTTCGGTGTTAGTATCGTAATGTATAAATTATAGAGCTCGAATTGGATTGGATTCGGGTATGGATAGATCTTACAGTATCCGCCGATAACCAACGGGATGAAGAACCATGTTCGTGTGCGGAAGAGGTGGAATGTATGTAGGAGGGTTGTGACTGCGAAGAGGATCACGAAGATCACGGCTGCGGCGATGGAGGGGTTGTATGTATATGCAATCCAGCCACTTTTTGAGGAGACCATTTTTATGTGGATGTTGGTGGTGTTTGCGTTGGATGTAGGCTGTGTATAGGTGCGGAGTATACTCGAGTCAAGTAAGTGGTGGAGGTTCAGAGAGTGCTGAACGAATTTAATGGAATTAGGAAATAGATCTGGGTTCAGGACACTTATATATCTATTTCCCTTCAGAATTTTCTCTGGGATATAAATAAGATCCGGGCAAGTGCAATGCATGGCTGGAACGTATACTGTTCGTATACTCGTACAGATATCTCGATCTGGTTAGCGTGAGTCCCACTAGGCCGAATATGGAACTAAGTACGAGGATACGAATCTATATTTTCTTTTCTTCTTTTCAATGCGGCACGCGTCCGATTCAAGCTTTCAAGCGGGCTTCTGGATCTTTGAGGGTCTCGCTCAGACCCCTGATTTTATGATAAGGGACTTGGCAAGGCTGGGGTTGGATCTTTGTTTGTATACGGCTAGATCCTGATGTACTAGAATAGACCTCGGCAGTCTGCAAGCTCTTGATTGGTGGCTCTTTGGCTATATCTCCCAACTGCAATCTATCAAAGCTCCATGTATTCACATTTGAATGCAACAACATGCTGGATAGGGCGAATGTACATCTATACAATATACACTATACACTCACAACTTAGCCTGATCCCCACCATTCTCCAAAACATACCGATACCTCGCCTTCCCCTCATGCATATCAACCAATGCCTGATTAACATCCCTCATAGCCCTCCTCTCAACCCAAGGCAAAACCTGTTTCTCAGCCGCCAACTCCAACATATCCCTAATATCCCCCGGCGACCCAATATTCGACCCAGTAACCTTAACCCCCTTCTGAATAAGCGACCAAGCCATAAGCGGCGGCAAAGCCTCCTCAGGCGCGCCCACCTGCACAAAAACCCCATCCCGCTTAAGCAACCTCAAATACCCTGCAAATGGCATATCAGGCGCAGAAACAGTACTCAAAACAACGTCCATCTTCCTCGACCACTTCTTCTCCCACCCTTTCTCTTCCCCAGTCGCTATAAACCCATCTCCCCCAAGCCCGCCAATCGCATCCGCCTTCTTCGCACTCGATCGAGATATCGCGATTACCCGCTCTGCGCCAAGCGCTCGCGCAAATAATATCCCTAGGTGTCCTAGCCCCCCAATGCCCACAATCCCAACCGTCTTCCCGGGTCCAACGCCGTACTTTTTTAGCGGCGCATACACTGTCACACCAGCACAAAGCAACGGCGCAGCACGCACACTAGGCAGTGCATCGGGGATCTGGAAAACAAAATGCGCAGGTCCACGCCATGAATCCGCGAACCCGCCGAAGGATTTACTCCGGTTTGCGTCGAGGTAGCGGCCGTTATACGTGCCTGTCATGCGCGCACAGTAACTTTCCTGGCCGTCGGCGCATGCTTCGCAATCGGGTTTGAGGCAGGAGCTGCTTTGCGCGCCTATGCCGACGCGTTCGCCGAGGCGGATATTGCGGATGTACGGGTTTGTGGGGTGGTTGGGCACCTCGCTGCCGATGCGGCGTACTGTGCCGATTATCTCGTGGCCGGCTACGCAGGGATAGTCTGTTGGGCCCCAGCCCGAGTTTAGGGTGTGGATGTCTGTGCCGCAGATTCCGCAGTGGGTTATGGAAATTTCGATGTCGGTTGGTGTGAAGGGTTTTGGGGTGTAGGTTGTGTAGGATAGGGGGGTTTTGGCCGAGGTTGAGACCCAGCCTTTGAATGTTTCTTGGGACATTTTGGTTGTGGTCTGTTGGACGGTTGGGGATTGAGGCTGTGTTGGCGTGGATGTGAGGTAGGTGGGCAATTGGATAGGTCAGTATTTTGTTTGGTATGTCTGATAGTATCGAGGGAGTTATGAAGATTAAGAGCAGGGGATTCTAAGAAGACTAAAGTGGACTTGACATATGCGGAGAACAAAGTTACCGAGGTCGAGCTTAACTCCGGCTCCACTAAATGAACATATTTACATTGGGGTATCAATTACCCGGCTACGCCCATCAGATCATCGAGCTCGTCAGTTGTGAGGGTACTACGACGCCGGTTCGCTGGCCGGGCCTTCTCTGGACGGCTCCTCTTTCTTGATTCGCGCTCCTTGCGTTCATTTTGAGCTGCGCGTGCTTCGTCTTCGACCGCGGCTAGCTTTTCGTGAACGCTCATTTGTGATTCGTTGGCATTGGGCTGTACGGGATTAGTCCTGGGGATCTCCAATGGGTTGTTTTCGTTGCATACCTGATGGGTGTCTTTTGTTTCGGTCTTTCGTCTGGAGGATCTCTGCGTTACAGACTCGGTTTTGTATGCTTTGATTGGTAATGTGTCGTCTTCCGGGGTGGAAACGCATGGTGAGCCTTGTAGGCCCGGTGTAAAGGAGACCTTTCGGGGACGTTTTGTCATGGCATTTTCACTCCGCTCCCTTAAAGCTCGGTCTGGTCGCTCGGGTACTTTGCGAATCTTAGACCTGGTCTTCGTTGGTTGGGCCATTTCGGGCTCTGGTGCTTTCTGCTCGGAATCACTCATGTCTTCCTCGTCTTGGTCTTCCAAAATTGTCGGGATGGAGTTGGACTCTGACATGCTTTGCATACTGTCCTCGTTCGAGTTAATGCTGAGATCGAGGTTCATCCCGCGCTTCAATTCTTCTGCCCGGATGGAGTCTCCTCCATCTGCAAGGCGTCGCTGCCAACCCCCCATCATAGTAACCGCCTGTTTCCAGCGGCTTTCCATCTTAACCCAGCCTTCCCGCAGCCGCTTGATCTCTTCATCTCTCGTCTCAACTTCTTCAAGAGGCACGAAAGAGGGGTTGGTAAGGAGTGTCCGTAGATGATCCAATACTGTTTCCATATGAACAGACAGCTCTTCACAGGAAGTTGGAAGTGAGGTAACAGGCCCCGAAGACTTGTTCGGTCCCACACTTGCAGCCATACCCGCCTGTTCATTCTCATTCTTCCCGTGGTCATGCTGTGGAATCCCTTGTAGGTCCTTCAGAGTATGGACAGTGTTCCGCGCGAGCTCAATTAATGTATCATTCTCGTCGCTGAGATTCTGACACAGCTCTGTTAAAAAGTCGGTCGTCTCCTGTTTCAAGCTGTACCCGGGGTCATTGACTCGATCTCCACCGCTAGTCCCAAGTCGTGATCGATCGGCTGCAGGGTTGATGTTGATTGTGGTGACAGTCAGACCCTCTCGCTTTCCCCTCCGTCTCTCGTCCAAATGCGACTTCAGCTTCTGCATTTCCAAATCCCGTTTGCGAATATCGTTGGCGCATTGCGCGCGCACTTGCTGAACCGTACTCTTCATGCGCTGGATTTGTTCTTTGAATCCTCGGATCGTAGCTTCGGCGCTGGAAAGGTTGGACTTCAGTGATCGTTCCTGCGCCTCTGCCAGCGCTAGCGAGCGGGTCAAGTCTGCTGATTTCGTCTTGAGTTTTCCCTGCGAAAGACAAGCGTTAGAACTGTGGTCGGTGTCCAAGAACAAAGAGTATGTGCATACAATCTCCACTGTCTGCTCCGACTCGCTCGCCTGCAACGTGCGAATAGTCGTCGCTAAGCTCTCGCGGTGCTCAGCTTCGCGCTAGAATCTGTTAGTCGTCATCTAGTCGCATAGATCACAGTACACGCACGTCTCTCCTCAGCACCAGATCATTCACCAAGTTAATCACTCGGGCCATGGTACCGTCGGTCCCTCCCTCTTCATTTTCAGGATCGGCGAAATCAATAGCCCGGCCACCTCTCAGCAGGCCCCGAGCCAGCAAGATATTGTTGACATAGGTTGACGCTGCCTGTAAATTGTGCTCCATTTTGGCGTCGGAGCATTCACTTGCCAATGTGATGCCGATACCGAATGGGGAACAAAGTAAACACGGAAGTTACGGC